AAGATGCTGCAGGCTTTTAGAAATCCAGGCTCACAGGCCAGACCTAGCTCCAAGACCTCCAACATAACACAGGTGGGGAGCTCATCCTCACAGCCAGTGGATGTCCACCCAGTCTGGGACACAGAACCTCATGGCACTGTAGAAGAGTGAGTGGGCCCCCTCCCACCACTGCCACAAAGGCACCTGGTACAGGGGGAAACGTACCACATTTATGGACAAGGTTCATGCCAAGAGACAATCCTTGCACTTGCCACACCTCCAGTCTTCCATAGTAGTAAGGTCTTCCATCCTCCCCACATTGCGAGCCATTCCTCCAAGCCAATTCACCTGAGAGGTGAGGAGAGATCACACATACGCTTGAGAAAGGACGCAGGGCCATATGTGTACATTGCTTGCCCAGAGTTCTGCGCCCTCACCCAGGCCTGTCCCTGAGATATGAGTGACATGTGACGGGGCATACGAGGGCCGGGCTGAGGTTAAAACACAAGACCACACAGAGTGGCCATTTGACTAATGAGACTCTGCTTCACGGGCAGAAACTCACTTGGGTGAAAGGACTGGACTTAGCCCATAGACTCTAAGTAGTTGGTCCCTGGTGTATGCAGGTTTGTGGACAAGGGGTAACTCTACCATGCCTACTATTCTAGGTTGACAGCGTGCTGGACCTCAGATCCGATGAGAACGACGGTAGGGGTTCTCACTCATTTTGTTCAGCTTTTCCAAGGAATGCATTTGAGGGGTGTCATCATCGATCCAAGCACATCTGAGGAGCTGTTGACTTTTAGAAATCCAGGCAGAAGGCCTAAAAGGCCAGACCTAGACTCCAAGACCTCCAACATATCACAGTGGGGAGTTCAGTCTCTCAGCCAGAGAGGAGTACACCCAGTCAGGGACACAGCACCATATGGCACTGTGGAGGAGTGAGTGGGCCTCCTCCCAGGCAGTTCACGGACCACCACTGCCATGCATGCACCTGGTAGTGGGGGTAACTTACCAGATTTATGGACAAGGTTCATGCCAAGAGACACTCCTTGCACTTGTCGCACCTCCAGTCTTCCACAGTAGTAAGGTCTCCCACCTGGCGAGCCATTCCCCCAAGGCAATTCACCTGAGAGGCATGGAGAGATCACACACACGCTTGAGAAAGGACCCAGGGCCACATGAGTATACTGGTGCCCCGGGGTTATGTGCCTCAGCTATCACCCAGCTCTGCCCTGAGATATGAGTGAAGGTATGTGAGAGGGTTTTTAAAGGCCAAGGTTGTGAGACCAAAATGCTGTCCACACAGAGAGGCCACTTGACCATTGCGGCTCTGCTTCGTAGGCATATGGTCATTTGGGTGAAAGAACTAGACTTAATTCACAGCCTCTAAGTAGCTGTCCTTGGCTGGTGCCTGCATGTTTGTAGACAAGGGAACTCCCTTTACCTCCCATCACAGTTCAGACACTGTGCTGGAACTTGGATTCGATGTGAACAAAAGTCGAGGGTTCTCACTCATTTGGTTCAGCTTTTCCATGGAATTCATATGAGAGGTGTCATCATCGATCGGTACACTGCTTTATTATGCTTTAGATTTTAACGCCCAGGTCAAAGAGGCCTCCAGCTTCCAAGATTTGGAGGACCTTTGCCCCAAAAGACAAAGCCCTTCAACATCTAGACTCAACCCCTGCATGCCAATGGGGAAGGATGGAACAATGGTCTCCAAGGCAGTTTGGTACCTGCAAACAGCCCTAGCATCAGGCATGGCAGGAGAGCCTTACCTTTGTGGGTGTTCAGGGCAGGGGCACTTTGCTCTCCTACCCAGAAGCCTGCAGGACTTGCTTGCAATTCTGGTTATCTGAGGGGAGCAAGGTCCTTCCTCCTTGTGTGCAAGGCGAGCATCCATGTCCCACTTCAAATGCACCTGAGGTTTTGAGAGATAACATGCACACTTCAGCAAGTTCCCGGGGACTTCAGGTGTACCAAAAGGTGCCCTGTGGCCTAATGCCTTACCCCACTGATCAGTTTTATCCCTGATTGATACTAGTAGGTCCTGGGATAGTGCTTCCTAGGATAGGGCTATGGAGACCACAAACTGCCACTCCAGGGGCCCACCTGACCAAGGAGCTGTGCTTCACAGGCACCTGCTCACTCCTGAGGTGAAAGGCCTGGCTTGAGGCATGCAGAATGTGATGTACTGGCCTCCTGGTTGGTTCGTACAAGCTTTTGGTTTAGGGAAACTCACTGTTGCCTAACAACTCAACCAAACTCAGTGCCAGACCTCAGATCCGATGAGAACGACGGTAGGGGTTCTCACTCATTTTGTTCAGCTTTTCCAAGGAATGCATTTGAGGGGTGTCATCATCGATCCAGCACAGTTGAGGAGGCTCAGGACGTTTAGAATTCCAAGTGGGCAACCCATCAGGTTAGCCAGGGCCATAAGGCCTCCAGCAGCCTGCAGGTAACAAGCTCAGCACCCCAGCCAGAAGGAGAGTCCGTCCACTCATAGACAATCCCCAAATGACACAGGGAGGCGTGTATGAGCCTCCTGCTAGGCAGTTCTGGGTCACACTGATAAAGGAGCACCCAGGGCAGAGGTAACTTACGGTACATGGGCATCCATGGAAAATCTGCATCCCCCCATAGACACTGTGGCAACACTTGAAGAGTCAGGAGCCACTCTGGACTTGCACAGCACTAAGCACCTCCTCTCTCTGGGCACTGGAGCCTCCCTTCTCCCAACTGCACCTGAGAGGGGTTGAGAGGACATACACACTTTAAAAGTTACCCAAGACCATGATGAGTACCTTAGGTTGGCCCTGGTCAAATGCCCTCCGCTCTCAGCTCTGTCCCTGAGATATGACCAAAGGTGTGTCTGACAGTGCTTTTGAGGGCCAAATGTAGAGACCAAAATCTCAAAGCAGCAATGCGCCCAGTGAAGGTCTGTGTCATGTGTATCTGCTCCCTGTTGGGGTGAAAGCACTGGACCTAAGAACAGAGTCTCAGAGTTCCTGCACAACTGTGGTCATGGGTCAGCTCTCCCTATCACCTACCACCCTAGATCAGCCACTGTGCCGGACCTCAGACCCGATGAGAACGACGGTAGGGGTTCTCACTCATTTTGTTCAGCTTTTCCAAGGAATGCATTTGAGGGGTGTCATCATCGATCTGAGCACAGTTGTGAAGTACAGACTTCTATAATTCAAGATATGCAACTCAGAAGGCCAGCCCAGGACCCTACAGGGCTCCAGCTGCTGAAGGGTGTGGATACCATTGCCCAGAGTGAAAGTCCTTCCAATCTGGGAGCCCATTGGTGGAATAAGCACCTGCACAGCAGGTCTATTACGGGTCAAATCAAACACTTCCCTTGGGCAACATGCCAGCTTACCCTTTGTGAGTATCCGCAGGTACTGCACACTCCTGTCCATACACCTCCTGGACTCTCCAGCATTGTTGGGGATCAGCAGAGAGTCAGGTCTTTCTCTCTGTGCACAAGAACAAGCATCTATTCTTCTTGCCCACTTCACCTGCGAGGTGTGGAAGGGCAAAACCACGCTTCAGAAAGGTAACAGGCACATGACCTTACTGAATGTTTCCCCAGGGCCGAATGTCCTCTACTATCACTCAGCACTGCCCTGGGAATTACATATCTCTGACACTGCCTCCTAGAACTAGGAATTTGGGGACTCACAGCAAACTACAGAGTGCCCACTTGACCAAGGAACAAGCACACTTCTGAAGCCTGCAAAATGTGAAGATTTGGCATCCTGACTGCGTTTGCATGTGTGGTCAAGGGGAATCTCTCTCTCTCTCTCACCTACTCTACTGACCCAAACTCAGTGCTGGACCTCAGATCCGATGAGAACGACGGTAGGGGTTCTCACTCATTTTGTTCAGCTTTTCCAAGGAATGCATTTGAGGGGTGTCATCATCGATCCAAGCACACTCAAATAGGATGTAGACTTTTACAAATTAAGGCAAGAGGCCGTTGGGCCGGGCCAGGTTGGCCAGCCCTCCTGTAGCCCAGCATGTGGGGAGATTACTTCTCAGAAAGAAATTCCTTCTACTCTGGGAGTCAAGCCCCACAGGCCACTGCTAAGGGTCTGGTTCTTTTGAGCTCCCAGAGCTACATTCCAGGCAGTGGGCAGCTTACCTTTTGTGGCATTCCAAGGCCTCAGGGCACTACTGTCATTCACACCTCGAGGGCCCACAACCTCTGGTGGTATCGATGAGCACGGACTTCCTCCTTGTGTGTAAAACAAGCGCCTACTCTACTTGCCAACTGGACCTGAGGTGTTGAGAGAGCATGCACATACTTCAGAAACACACCCAGGACATGATATGCTCCAGTGGTTTCCTGGGGGCTTTATGGCTGGCTTCAGAAAAGCACCCAATGAGCCCTTTTCCTGAGGCGGACAAAAACCCTGTGAGACAATGGCCCCTAGGTCAGGATGCTGGGGGACACACTGCAGCACAAGAGAGTGCCCTTCCACTCAGGAGCTGTGCATCTCAGGGCCCCCTGGCTTGAGGGAAAAGCTCTGGCTTAGAGTTCACATGATGTTAAGCACTGGCCTCCTGCCTGGTATGTGCAGGTATGTAGGGTCAAGGCTTAGCTCTCCCTCTCACCTAATGTCCCAACTCAAAGACAGTACTGGACTTCTGTGAAGATTCAATAAAATAACAGGAGAGAATTTTCACTCATTTTGTTCAGCTTTTCCAAGGGATGCATAGTAGGGTTGTCACCATCAGCCGAGCATATCTGAAGAGACTTCAGGCATTTAAATTGCAGGCAGGTAGCCTGCCTGGCCAGCAGAGGACACCAAGGCCTCCAGCATCTGCAAGTATAGAGTCCAACCACCTAACTAGAGGGAGAGCCCATCGATTCTCAGGACAGTACCTCATAGAGCTATGGAAGGAGTGGATGAGCCTCCTCCAAGTAGTTCTGGCACCAATGGTACTGAGTTTGTACCAGGGGTACGAGGGTTGGAGTAGCTTACCATATGTCAGCATCTCCAGACCAAGTTCAGCCCACAGAGACACTTCTTGAAGACAGCAGCACCTTCAGCCTTCCACAGCAATAAGACCCACTTTCTGGGCATGGGAAGCCTTTTTCTCACACCAACTGCACCTGAGAGGTATTGAGAAGTCACACACATACTTCAGGAGGCATGCAGGACTATATGTGTACCAAAGGTTGCCACAGGTTCTAATGCTCTCTACTTTTTCACTCAGTTCTTCTCTGATATATGACAGAAGTGTGTGACATTGCTGCCCAGGGCGAACATAATGGAGACCAAATGTTGGACACCACAGAGCAACCCACACAACCAGTGAAGCTCTGCTTCCTAGGCACCTGCTCACTGTTGAGGGGAAATCAGTGGACTTAGGGTTGCTGTCTCTGAGTTGCTGCCCCTGGCTGGTGGCTGATGTTTGTGATGAAGGAGAAATTCTCCCTGTGGCCAACTGCTGGATGAAACAGTGCGCTGGACCTCAGATCCGATGAGAACGACGGTAGGGGTTCTCACTCATTTTGTTCAGCTTTTCCAAGGAATGCATTTGAGGGGTGTCATCATCGAT